AGGATCAACCTGGAAAGAAGGAGAGAAAAAAAAAAGGCCGGCAACGAAGTGCCTTTGCAGAGGCCGGAGGGGTTGTTAGGGTGAGCCCGTATGAGGCCTCTTGTACGCCGAGCGAGATGGCGATTCTACGGATCAAGTCGGAGGAAGTGTGGTGAGAGGCGGGTGTCGAGGGTTATGGATAGATTGAGATGGAGAGGAAACGGTGAGTTGGTGTCGAGAGAGTGAATCAATGGCTGGAACAAAAAAGAGGCTAAAGTCGTCGGGCGGGTATGTGAAACGAGCGAAAGCTGACGATGTGAGAACGTCCGTCGTTCAGGAGGTGTTAGTGGAGTGTATGGTGTGAGGGAGGGAGTGAGTGAGTAAGGAGGGAGCAGAGACAAGACAAGACGCGAAGACGGAGAAGGAAAAGGACGAAGACGAACGGGCGAGAAGGGGAAGCGATTGGCGATCGATGGTTGGCGGGAGACGGGGACCCAAGCTTGGAAGCGACCTCAGCGTGTCGTCTGTTCTCGTACACGGGCCCCCATGCAGGTAGGGGGACAAGGACCCTGGGATGGTGTGGACGAGGTGGGAACGACCATCTGCGAGTCTCCAGCGAGTCTTTTTCTTTCTCTCACCTCTTTCTCTCTCTCGTCTGTCTCCGTTTCTCAGGCGCCCTCCTCACTCGTTCTGTCTCTGTCTCGTTGGAGAAAACAGCCAGATGACGGGCTGTGAGAAGCCGAAGGGTGGCCATCACACACACACACATGCCCCGTCGCCTCCACTGGGGCGCAAGTTCGATTGGAACCATTGCAACCTCGTCCCTGACTTGTTCCTTGCCTCGCAAGCAGCGTCAACCAGCCCAAAGGCCGCTCGTACCCTTGTCACGAAGGCGCTTGCCCCCACCAGTCCCACCCCCTTGCGCTGGTTCATAAATCCAGTAGTGTATGGTATTCGTGAAGTGCAGTACCGGTACTACTAAGTTACGCATAGCAGATAGATAATGCCTGTACCTAGCCCGAGGATTGGTTCGACCCACGTCGTGGCGCATTGGACTTGGTGTTCCCGTATACGGACAGGTACCGCACCATACATACCGTACTCTCGTATACGGCGCATGAGATAACAGCATGCCATGCTGCGACTTGCACGTCGCTGGATTTTCTACCCCAAGTACTCAGGGCGCGAGATACCCAAACGCCAGTGGCAGGCGGGCTACTAGCTACTACTGCATTGGAGAGGGGGCGGCTGAACACGACGGGCAGACGGACAGACAGGCACAGAGGATGCAGTCTGGCAGTGGACTGCCGAGGTGGTGAAGAGGCGAAAAAGTGAAAATATGATGGCGCAGGTACTGGAAAGTGCCTCTCCCATACACACACACACACACTACAGTACACTTACTACGCTAGTGCGTAGACTAAATGAAAGACCGGCCCCATCCATGCCCCCGGCTGGCATCCGTCCAGACCAGCCCGCGGCGTTGCGTGGCCGAGCAGTCCAGAACGGTCCTTGGATCCTCGCGGCGTCCTTGCTGACGCGAGGAAACAAGAGATTGAAGGCCCGGGATGCGAGCAAGGAATATAGTGTATCCGTACGGACGCAGTAATGCTTGGGAGGGAAGGAAAGAGAGAGATGGGGGGATACGTATCTTTGGTTCCTGCCTTGCCATCGAATTACCGTTTGGGCAAGGCGAAGCCACAAGGAAGCCACGCCTCGTCTCCCTCATAACGGCCGGCACACGACGGCGGCGCGGCTTCCTTTTTGTCTCGGGCGTAAACGGTGGCGTCTACGATGTACTGCAGAACCGGTTGCGGGCGGTACGGGTAGGCATGTACACTAGGTAGACATTTCTCGTCGTGGTGAATGAGTTGGCTGTATTGGTACGAATGCTCTGCATAAACCACGGAGGAGTACGTCGCATGTGTTCCGCCCATTCTTTCTGGTGGATGCTGATGCTGACGCTGAAACAGCAACGAGCACGCAGTCTCGACCACGTACCAAGTGACGAATGGCGAAATCAACTACTGCTCGGTAGGTGGTTTACATTCGCAGGCTTTTCTTCCAGTCTCGACACGATAGACGCTACCAGTAGGTGCACTACGCGCTACATCATCAGCAATCGCCGGCCAGCTCCAAATTCTCCCAAGCCAATAATCAGGGGCAAACCGGTAGTGCACCAAAGCCCCTCAATCCTACGTAAGGTTGTGTGAGCCAAGGTACCTATTGCCCATGCAGCCAGTGACGGCCCCCTCCCTGCATTGGCGTCAGGGGACCCCCGAGAGAGGCTTGGCTGCGAGATCGACAGGGGATTCGGCCTGGCTAGAATGGCAGCCACCCGAGCCCATTGGCTCCCGCCGTTCGAAAGAAGAAGAAGAAAAAAACCAGTTGAGCGCCATCATCTGCTTACGGTACAAAGTGCAGTAGGTACTCCGTACACTACCTACCTACCTAGGTACCTACAGTTTTACGTAGGAGTGTGGATATTGGTGGGTGCTTGTCCGCGGCGCCACGGACGCCAAAGGACGGCAGGGGAGACCCACAATGGCAACCCAAACCGGTCACGTACCCCCGCCTGGTATGAAACTGCGCCATCACGGAGAAGGAGGACCGCCTTCATTTGCCAATGACATTGTCCGTTTCTATGCCTCCGTCGACCTGCCATGTATGTACTGTACGTACCTACCTACTTTAAACCAGTATGTACGTACCTAGACCAGAACTGTCGGGTCTCTCTCTCTCTTCTCGGGAGAACGAATGAATGTTAATCGGTGGCATCTCTATCTATCCACCGTGGACTATCTCATGTGCTGTGCGATGCGATCGATGATTGATGGGCGGAATATCCATACACTACGAGAGCGACGAAGTAGCCGCCCAGGAGCTACGGGAATTTCTTCCCAACCGCTGCTGCCATCTTCATTTGCCCTTTCAGGTGAGTTCAATCTCCAGAACCACACTTTTCTAGGCGGGGTAGGGTAGGCCGACTTTGGCTGGCAATTTGACGCTGCCATCCATTTCCTGCCGTTGGACGGCTCATCGGACGTCGATTGATTTCGCTGACGCCCTGCGAGATTAACAACACATTCCGAATTAAAAATAACCCCCTCACTCCCGCTTCTTGCTCTCTGAGGTGCCCATCTCCCACCACCTACACCTAGGTACCTTGCTTGCCCAGTTCGTCCCACGTCCCCACGTCACACTCCATCCAGCCTCCAGTACCCATTGTTGCTGCTACCGTGGTGCCCTCTCATATCGCGATACGCTGGGCGGGAGCGCAAAAGACATCCGGTCTCTGCTCTAATCCGAAAGACGGGGCGGCAGATTACACCCACCCGCACAGCCTCTTCCCTCGTCCGACCATGGCACGCTGCTGTGTGTAATACCAGACGGCGGCAAGGCAAGGCACCGCAAGTCGAGCTAATACTGATATTTTGGCTGCCCACACGGACCGACGGCTCCATGGACCCCCCTCTTCACCACGCGTCGAGAAGACTTCGGATCGTCCACTTCGTTCCCGCCCCAATCCCCGTGCCGCACAACCCACAGACTACCCATTCCCGCGCCTGATGGGAGGCCTGCCGAGCTGCGTTGCTGTGGTGGTGGCTACCTGCTTGACTGCCGGATCCAGGAATCCAGGAACCCAGCAGCATTCCAGCCGGCCCTGCCTACTGATACCTACATCACTCGACTACCTACCAGTACCTGTACAGGTACACTTTCTGCAGAGAAAGCATATCGGTGGCGCTATCCGTACTCAGAAAGAAACCCGCTCCCACGCTGCTGGGATCTATCTGGGTCTACCTACCTACCTGGCTGGATCTGCCCATCTTTCTGGTCCAGGCCACAATCATCCGCAGTCACTTAGGTAGTTTGGTATCGCTGTAGACACGGACCCTAGAGCCAAGGAACAATCCGTCCAAGATAGCCCCCATCACCACTTGGGGGGCACGCGGTCCGCTGGCGCCACATAATACACATCATCACCCCCTCGTACTTTGTCCCCCCTTCCCCGCGTGCAGTTTGGCAGCAGCGGCAGCGGCAGGAGCGGCAGCGGCAGCAGTAGTCTCGTCTCATCAGCTCCCTCACCAACTCTCAGTCCGAGTGCTCGACGCCCGTCCCCTTCTGTGCGTTCGCTTGTAATAGTGTCTAGTCTAGCTCCGAGGCCCTGCTCAACGCAACATCTCGCAACAGCTCGCGCATCAGAACCCTCGAGGGGCAATACAACCCGTCGACTTATCGCCCTATTTTACGCTCTTGTCAGTTTCGTCCAAACCCAGCCCCCCCCCTCTTCCCGTCAGAAACCCAAAACCTTGATTTTCTTCTTCTTCGTCCTCACCCACACACCACCACCACCCCTGTTGATCTTGTCAAAGAGCAGAAGATTGCAAGAATACAACAACTCTTGGACATCTTTCCTCGAAGGCCCGCCACCCCTGGACGATCTTATGGTCAAACGAGTCTGTTGTTTCCTACCCTCAACTCTTCTCCCACAAAACGTCACCGGAACCTCTACCCCTTAGACCAGACCGAACCCCTCTCCTTGTCGTCTCGCCATCCGTCGTCCTCGTAATCCCTCGGGCTGAGGTGCCGCGTGCACTCGCCTTGGCGTCAACCCCATTCCGGCTTGTCACCATGCGATTGAAACGATTCCGTGAGGATCACCACCAGCCCAGGCCGCCTCGCTTCCACGATGCTGGCTACAGCCGACCCCTTGCCCCCCCCCCCCGCCCCACGCGTCAACTCTGCTTTGACGCCTCCAGTCCCAGGCTGCCGGGAGCTATCGTGACACTCCTCATGCTAATCGGCTCACCCGCAAGATCCTTCACACACTTCACCATGTACACGCGTCTTCCGGTCAGCAACGCTCCTAACCACCAGGAAACAACCCTGTGACGGCATCCAACCACGCCACCCCCGCCCGTTCTTTTCCGGCATCATGCCTCTCTCTCTCTCTCTCTCTCTCTCTCTCTCTCTCTATCTGTCCCTCATCTCCAGATCCTCGTCCCGCAACCAGAGCATCTACAGCCACGTGCTGTTACGAACGCATTGCATTTCACCCTCACTCAGGAATGTTCTCCGAAGGCAGCAATGCAAGTGATAAGGCCTCATCCCGCCATCTCTGGAACCCTTGCTTCTCCCTCCAGCCTTGTTTCCCTGCTCTGCATTCTTGCACTTCGCCAATAACACTCATCCCCGAATCACTCACACTCGGCTCCTACTTCCGTACTGGCCCGCCATCGCGGTCCAAACGTCATGGGGCCACCGGAAGAAAAGAAAACAGGCCACTAACAGAGCAGAGCGGCTGATTGGAAGCCCAAGTACCGACAAAACGACATGACTCTCGACAATCTGAGCGCTCACAGCCCCGGGCACTCTCCGGCACGTCACCGAATGGGAAGTTGATGAAGAAGCCATACCCAGCTTTTTTTCTCCCGCCCACTCTCCCTATTTACCTCATGCAACAGTCTCCATGCAAGATTGTGGGAAGAGCATCCGTACCGACAATCACGTACAGATCTAGAAGAATCTCCGTCCGTCCCAGGCCCCCGTTCAAACCGAACAAGCCCACCCGAGCTACGTCTCTTCCGTCTCTCCATCGCCGGCAAGCCATCCCTTCCTTGCTTTTCCATCGTTCCCTCTCTCCCCCCCTCCCTCCTCGCCCGTCCGGACTTGTCCCCAAACCTCGACGGGTAAAACCAATGCGCAGAGCAAGCAGGGAAGACGGTAAGAAAACGTGTTCAAGGACGGCCGGCCGATGGCCCACACTTTCGCATGTCGCACACACACACACACACGTTCTGGTTCGGCACAACTTTTGTGACGTTCCCCTCCACCCCTCCGCGGCCCCGCCCGTCACAGTTATCCCATCGTCCCCAAGCTGTGAACCATCAGCGCCGTGGACAGAGCCCGACGCTGTAACCGCCCGGGGTTTAGGGGGACCGAGAGGAGGGCGTTGCACCTCGTATGAAGCGGGTCCCCCTCCATCTCTCCTCCATCCCCTATTGTCCCAATCTCTTGCCAGCCCAATATCTCCCCGCGACTGCAACGTCTTGCCTTGGAAAAAACTGTGGGCACGGCGTTACATTGTCCTGCCCCGTAACTTGGTTCTTTCCTTTGCTATTTTCAACCGCTCACCCGATGCCGAAGGACCCGACAAGTCATCGGGGGGGGGGGGGGGGGCCACTACAGAGAGAGCCATAAACCTCGCCAAGACATCTCGCGAAACGCGTACACGCACGCACACACACACACACACACACACACACGTTCTGACTTCTCGCCAACCCCATCCGTAGAACCTTCCTTGGCAATGGAGACGCTGCCGAAGCGGGATGCTGAAAATGCTTCTCAGGTGGGGTGCGCGCGGGTAGGTAGGCTGGCTCCCACCGCGCCCCCCTCCCCTCCGAGAGCGTAACATCGCGCGTGCCTTGTTCACCATGTGTGCAGGCGTACGTGCGTGCGTTCGTGCACTGCCGAGCCGGTTGGGCATGCTAATTTAAATATCAAGGCCTCATCTTATCGAGAAGGGAAAAAAATGTTTGACTTTTTCTGGTCCCTGAAATGAATACGGCTTTGGTAAACACCCTAGGCCGAACATCCGTCTGGTCATTGTTACTGTCGTTGCTGTGCGACCCATATCCTCCCATCCTTCCCGAGCATCTCCCTCCGTTGATTGCAGGCCGCCATATCCAATTGAAAAGATTACCAATGCGAAAGGGGAAGAAGACAAGAAAGAAAGAGAAAGAACAAAAGCCGATCCATATCGGTAATATTCGCACTCAAGCTCAGACTCGAGATTGCGCGAGTCTATCTGTCAGATAAATGCGCTACACCGCTCGACCTAAACACTAGAAAAAGAGATCCCATTCACCACTTCACCATCCTCCGAATTGGTTTAATGGATGCCATGATGGCTCCGAGTCTGTTATCGGCCGTAACATCGAGATATCGTCAGATAATGGAGCTAAACAGCCATCTCTTACTCGGCTGGAAGGAGGGCTGAGACGAACTGCTGTACAAACAAAAGGGGGTATCTAAACACGCCATAGATCCAAGTGAATATTTGACCCCCTGAAAGGGCACGCATAGACTGCTGCATGTCTCTTACCGAGTAGGGTAGAAACCCAACCCGTCTGGGAGGGGAGAGTGTGAGTAAGGCGAGATTGATTCCTGAGAGGCGTAATGGTTCTCGTTGAGGTTGCCTGGGCCCACGAGCCCATCGTAGCCCATCGGCACGCTCGTCACATCCGGCTGGTGCAACCCCAGAGCGTCGTGGTTCAAAGAGGGAAAGGGTTCGGTATCCTGCGCCGCCGGCATGTACTGCTGCTGCGTTCCCATGTACGACGATGCAGGCATTGCCAGGCCGTTGGCATTGTGATATTGCTGGTTGAATCCTTGGACTCCTTGGTTTATGGGCGATATGCCCATTAAATTCTGGGACATGGGCTGGCCGTTCGAAAATTGTGAAGAGAAAATGTAATCCTGGAACTGCTGGTTGCCTGTAGCACCGGCGTACCCAAATTGGTTTGCGCCGTGATATGGTCCGTTGCCGCTCGGCACCATGCCCTGGGGTTGGTAAGCTGACGGCTGCGCAAAGTTGGGAACCCGGGACTGTTCGCTTTTGATGAATGCTTCATCCAACGGTTCACGTGCGCTGAAGGGAGCCCTTGGCGGGGGGTCCTGCACAGGGCTGATAACGGTGTCTGGCTCCAGCTCCTTGGCCGCAACTAGTCGGAGGATGGGCAAGCTGATATGTTCCATGTGTTTGGCCAGGTGAACCGTCAACTTCTTCCACGTCGGGAACTGCCTCCCACAGAACCGGCAAGGCTCTTCCTGTGGCTTTTTGGATGTTTCGTGACGGCATTGTTCGACTTTTTGCCATGTCGGGTCAACAGCGCCAGCTTTCTTGATAGCGGCCTTGGTCTTATTCTTAGGCTCTACAAACTTGTGCTCGCGTACGAGATGCTGTAGGAAGTTATCTCGGCGGTAGCAGGTGTGCCGGCAGTCGTCGACGTCGCAGGTCCACCACTCAAGGTGGCGATGGCCTTCGTTCTCGTGACGCACCCAGTCAGCCTTACGCTTGAAAATCTTGGGCTCACGGCATCGGTCCCAGGTGCAGGTAAAAGGCTGCACGTCTTCGTGTACGTGCTTCGTCCAGTCGGAGGGCTTCTTAGGCTTCTTCAAGGTGAAGCAAAGCTGACACTCGAACTCGGCCGGAAGAGACTGTGTGGGCGGCATGGGGATATTCCGTGGAAAGCTGTCTGTGGTGATGGCACCTTCAACGGGGGTCGAGTCGCCTTCACCGAAATCGTGGCCTGTGGACAGTGGGTCGAGGTCTCGCGAGTCTCCCCTCTGGTCGAGCAGGACAGGCCGTCCGCCTCTAGCCAGACATAAGGCCCCGCAAGAGCAGCCTGGGCCGAGTCCGAGGTGTTTCACCTTGGCGTTGAGAAGGCTCTTGTATCGCACAACTTGTTGGTGGGCGATGCGGTCAACCAGGTAGTTGTTGGTGGTTGCTAGGTCCGGGTTGAGACGGAGCACGTGCTGCTGGAAACCCACAAAGTTCGGCGAGACACCTTCAATTAGCTTGCTGGAGTCGGCATTCATGTCTCCATCCTCGCAAGGCTCATCCTCATCTTCGTCGTCGTCGTCTACATCAACGTTTGTAGAGCTCCCCTTCGCAAGGACGGCAACGGGCGGGCCACCGCTTTTCCTCCACATGCCGACGAGGTTCGAGTGTGTTTCAGCCGCGCTGGCCCTTGGCAGGTCCGACTTGCTTCTGGGCCTTCGAAGGGTGTTCTTGACCTGAAGGCCAGCAAATGGGCTCAGCGGGCTCTTGGGTGATGTAACTATTGCACCGCCGATCGACCCGTTGCGGGCATGAGTGGTTCCGATTGAGGCCACTCTACTACCCATCGACACCAGAGCGGTGTTGATACTAGGCGTCTGTGTTTTTGTTTTGCTCCAACTTCCCGTCCGAGCACTAGGTAGAAGGTGAGGCAAGCTCTCGCGTTTCTCAGGGGGTGAAGGCTCCGACTTGATGTTGTCGTCGCCGTGGGTACTATTGGACCGCTTGAGTCGCTGACTGCTCGACCTGCTGACCAGACCACGCAAGTCCTTGAGAATGCTTGGCCGACGGCCGCTCTCACCTCTGCTGATGGACAGCTTCTTTAACAAACTCCCACTGGTGACGTTCTCCATGTCCATGTCCATGACGCTGGGTAGACTGCGTCTGCGCGTGCCCCAAGTGGGCGCATTGGAAACGATGGATTGGTTGTCGCACATCTGTCTAAATCGAGCAATCGCAGCTTGCGAGGTCTCTGGCTGGTATGTTTCTGCGCCTGGTCTACTGATTGGGTGCACAAGGGGTGAATCGCCCCATACGCGGTTGGAGTGCATGATGTGCAAGTCTGTTGCCGTCATCTCACCACCGCGGGCAGTAAAATAAGTCTGACCGGGTTGATGACGATTTTCGGTTCTGTCGCCGAAAGGGACGCCATCGTCACCAGCTGCGAGGTCAAGACTAGTATGCAGGTTGGTCGCTTGCGGCAGCGGCGCCTCGACTGGGGTATCATTCAGGCTGTGAGATAGCCATTGATCAACCTCCTGGTTCTTCTTCTCGATCTTGCGGCGAGTATTCATTTCGTTGACACTGGCTATCTCGGTGGAAGGCCTGTTATCCGGGTCTAGGCCGTGACGGGTGACCGAGGATCGTCTCTGGGGTGAGCCGGTTGCAGCTGGTTCTTGACTAGAAACCAAATCGCCCGCGGGGTTGATGTCACCATGTGCGGTAGGCGAGTTCTCGTCGTCAGGCGTAAAAGTGCGCTCGATCGACTGAACCGGCTCTGGGGTATCTCTACCCCACATGGACACAGTCACACGCGGGCTCTGAGCGGCCATTATTGCAGGAGATGGCACGGCACTGTCCTCGCTGGAACGGCCGCTCCCGCTCGTGTTTGGCGTCAGCTGCGGCACAGGTTGTATGGCAAATGTAGAAATCGGGTGCGGCTGGAAAGGCTTTTGGAGCTCCTGAGGCGAGATGGAAGTGGGCATTTGACCTGGCACGGACCTAGCAGTCGCACTTCCATCGCAACCAGGTGAGGTTGTGTGAAGCGAAGCTTGGTCGGGGGTTAAGGGATAGGTTTTGGCTTCAAGGGCTTTGCTCCGTGTTTGCGAACTGCTGAAAGCCTGTGAAATGGCAGTTTGGCCGAAGCTGTCGGTACGGGTTGAGGGGTCCAGAAAGGAGGGTGTGCCAGCTTCCGTTGCGTTGAAGCTGACGCCGAAGAAAGGGTCGGACCCATCGTCAATGTCGCTATAATCGCTCGATTGGTACTGGCTGAAGTTCGAGACGGACTCGGCTGGGGTTTGGCCACCAAAGCTGGGCGAAAGCGAGCTGCTCTGGAACTGCGACGAGGGCGAGAGGTGGTTCCGGTCGAATGAAGTGGCATTCAGTCGTTGTTGTTGATTGCTATTTGGCGGAGAGGAGTTGCTGGGATTATTCGCTTGCCCATCGTGGAACGAAGCGGGAGGTACAGCGTAAGTCGAGGCCATGGTGACGACGACAAGGCGGAAGCTGACAGCGAAGACTGGAGTTGGGGTCTATCGAAAGCGCTGGGCCGTCTTGGCGTTAGACAGGCGATGAGGTGCCAAAGCTAAGATGGATCTTATCCCAAAGGTCAAAAGGCGCCAGACTCTGTCATGTTCTGGCGCGCGATGGATGGCTTGGGTTTGAAGCGGCAGGCTGAGCTGGCTGAAGGCGGGGGTGAACACTGGAGCACGATCAGGCTGCGAGAGACAATCCGCCACCAAGCTGAAGGTCTGAGAAGGCACGAGACCGTCTGACCGAAGCGACGCAATGTCAAAAGTCAAGTCCGTTCGTGCAGAGATATGCCGGCGGCAGGCTAGAAAGAATGCAAAAGAATATTTGTTCAAGGTGTCGGAGGAGAGGCGATATGGCGGCCTGGGAGGGATAGTTGGGTTGGTCGTGTCTTTTGACTGGCGCTTACTCTGGGCGGTCCCCCGTCTCTGTATGCGTGACGCACGGGACAGCTAGATCAAGTAGCAGCGGTAGAGACGGTCGCGAGTGCGGTTCTAAACTATTAAAAGAGACAAGCGAGTTTGTTTGCGGTGTCTGGCAATCAGGCGTCGTCGTAGATGTTGGTCGCAGTGAAGCAAGCACTGCCAATATGGAGATGGCGGGACGGCAAAGGGACTGGGGGCGCGAAAGCGGGATATGCGACTGAGGATCCGCGATCTCGTCTAAACAAGCTGAGGCTCTCTCGGTGGGCGCCGTGTCAGGGGTAAAGCAGAAAGAGACTCAACTCGATGGGCTCAGCTCATGCAGAGCCAGGAGAAGGAGGCGGGAGAGAGAGATTAGGGGATGAGGAAACGGTTTTGATTGTGGCAGAGTCGCAAAAGCCACAATGATAAAGGAGGGGGAAGTTGTTTGAATGAGTATGAAGAGAGAAAGAGGTTCTTCGGATGACGAGGGAGGGATGAATTAGGCGTGGGCGGTTGGAAGTGGGGGATGTGATGTGAGTGACAAGACAAGCGCGAGACAGGACGGAAATCAATCCAGGGTGGTTCTAGCGTGTGCGAGGATATCAGGTACGTACCGCAAGGCAACTCAGCTTACAGCGGACTAAGGGAGCGGAAACCAAGTTGGTTGGACACACACTCCCAGCTGCCTGCTGGTGTTGGTGCTGCTGTACTGGTGCTGGTACGAGGTGTTTCGAGGTAAAGGTACTTTCCCACCTCGGATGCGACTGGAATTATGATATGGGTTGGCTGTACCTTTGGCATCGGACAATTAGGTAGACTCGGCCGCTAATCAGGGCCGCCGGCCTAATTGCGCGCTTGTCTCTGTTCCCGACCGAACCATCTTGCTTCTCCCTGGTCAACATTGCAGCTTGCCAGCCTGATCTCGAGTGTCTCGGTGAAGCGTGTACCGTACCTACTTGTTTATTGCCAGCAATGACATCCTCGCTCTTGAGAGGAGCAGCAGCTCGCCGGAGCGGCAGTGGGAGTGCGCCGCCACAACGCTGCCCTGTCTTTCTCCCTCTATCAATTGTCCAGGCACGTAGGTGGACAGGAGACAGAGGAATAATACATTGATCGCAATGCCTAGGTACGTTGGTACCCCCAAGTCAGCCTGCATCGCATCGTTAGTTCAGACCAGTAGGTTCGGCCGAAGTCTGTCGGAAACCATCCGCGCCTCGTCTCTGCTTCCTTAAAGCCATCGCACGTACCGCCCGATTGTGTCATATCTACACTGGTGTTTCTATCGAGGCCACTGTCTTCCCATCCCTGTTGTTCGATGATGCACGAAATGACGGCCAGATGCAGCTTGGAACCATAACAAAAAATATCAGAGACGAATGCCTCTTCTCCATCGAATTTGAATGTACCTGCCTGTACGAATACCTGCGCACTAGTGCTCCTTCCTCGTTCGACGTTCCGCGGGCCCACATATAGCCATGCTAGCTCTGCCCCGCTATTGTGGGTCTTATAGAGGGAAGGAGCGTCTGTGAATGGGCGACGATGCACCTCCCACAGGCAGGCACCCTCGCTCGTAGGGCGGAATAGGGACCTGGGCGAACCATATTTTCTGAGAAAGGGACTCGAGACACCAGCCCGCGCCAACGAGAGACCGAGGTATTATCTAAATTCTTCCATTTTTCGCGAGGCGTTCTCCGTCGTTGGGCGCATTTTCCTCAGCCCCAGCATCACCAGCAACCCCCCCGTTCACGGCACAACCCCGCACGAGGTGCTAGCTAAGCTTACCGTGCCTCCATCCTCCCGCTCACTCAGATCGCGTTTCTGTTCATCGCCCTTTGGTCGCTGGCCGTGCCTTCATATCGTCGCATCCCAAGCCAAGCTACAGAAGAAGCGGTTACCGCCGCACCGCCTCGACCTTGCGATGACCGCGAAGCGAACTGACCTGTCGACTCGTACTCACCGAGCAGGCGGATGATCCTCCATGTGCGACTGCAGTCGACATGACCATGAAAGATTCATACCGTATCGGCCTACCGTCGAAATAACCCTGCGAATCATACGTCGGACCTGCAGACACTTGATGTCATCGGGACGACATCTTTCTCCGGCTTGACCTTCGAGCATAGTTGCCCAGATCGCATGCCACTCGGTAGGAAACTGAGTGGCTAAATACGAGGCACCAGTCTGCGCAGTTGTCGCAGACACCGACAATTATTTCCCTTCCGAGACAGCCATCCATGTCCTCCGCCCAGCGTAAAACACACAGCAATGGCCTTTTTCCCGCTCTTGCTTTCACGACTGAGGAAACCGAATATTTCCATTGTAGCTCCCCAGCGGTATAGTTCTCGGTGGGGTCTGCCGGACCATTGTGCACAGCCGCAGCCGCCATGATAACGTTGTCGTTGTTATTGGGAGGAGGACCCTGGGGGCATGGGCGAAGCAGACAATAATCTCAAGGTTGACCGGGCGGTGCACCACGCCGACCGCGTGCTTTGAAACAAGCGGCATCGAGGCTGCGCAGCGCCACAACAGCCCCCAATATTCCCTCCCTGTTACACGTGGACGGCCACATTGAACTGCTCCATGACGAGCCGGCAACTTGGTGCTCGCCATGCTGGCTCGTGTGCAGCTAAGGCAGGCTGAAATGATGCCCAGCTTATTGTTGAGGTCTTCAGCGGCTAAAACAGCTAAACGGAGAAACACGTTGGCACCACAGGACAGGCGCAGCTGCAAAAACATGGTTGCGTCACAACACCCGAATTAACAACCAAATTGGCAATTCTCTAGGCACCTCACGTATGGTTTCACAGCCAGGCACAGTCTAGCGTCAAGAGCATCCAAGTGTCGACGCACACCAGTTGCACGCAACGACTTACGGCTACTTATTACATGCCTACCGGCGATAGGCCGAGGCGTTTTCGTCAGCGAGGAGGTAGTATTTGAGCTTCAGCGCACGGCCACAAGACATAAGTTGCGCCGTCATATAGAAAGTGAAAGAATTCTCTGTAGATGGTCCTGCAAGGTCACCTTACGCCCCGATCGACGGCTTACATAATCGGCCGCACCCGATACACCCCGGCGCCGGCTCGAGCCAAGCAATGGTGGAGATCACCTGTCCAGGAACTCTAAACCGCACAAAGCGCAGATCCGTCCACCTCCGGCCTGAACATGGAGCCATTCCAGTCCCGTATCCCGCCATCCGTGAAGACCTGCCGACAACACATCTGCTGCCCAATCCGTCGTTAAGTAACTGTTTTTGACGAAGCATCATCCACTTTGTAGAGCGGAATCTCCCAGACCGTCTCCGTGCTTGCTTTGAACCAAGACATCAGACGGACCCTGCGCTGCAGAGGCTCAGCCGTTGACCATGTTCCAGGTGCGTAGTTCATCTCGTTCCTGTGCCACCAAGTAGCTTCCCGGCCACGGCTGTCGACATGACGGCGGACGGCAGCGAGCATGCGCGCCGCCGTGACCCCGGCCGGGGCACCCAGGCCCTCACACATTGGGCTACCGCGTCCTTTTGGGAGAGCCGCATCGCTCACCGGTGTTTTCATCGCAGCCAAACCCCCAAGACCACCTACATCTGCGCCTACACCGGGCACGGTCAGTCGTCCTGACCGCAGAAGAGTAAGCGTGCCCCTTCCTCCCTCGTCACCCACCACAAACATTCGCCAACTCACATCTCCCCCGCCTCCCAGGCTCGTCGAGATCCGCGCCGTCCAGCGCACCTTTGAGGGTGCCTACATGCGTACCGCACTCTCGCAGTTCTCATTCGCCCTCATCATCCTCAAAATCTTCACGTCCGAGTTTTACGCCATTGGCGCCCTGTTCGCCGTCTACGGCGCCGCCGTCATGCTCGTCGCCATCTTCCGCCGCCATGAGGGCAACCGCCAGTTCTTCACGTCTCCGGAGGCGGACGCCCACGGCGCCGTCTCCGTCGTCCGCAAGTTCCGCACCTCTGGCAACAGCGTCGCACTGCTCACGGTGCTGAGTCTCGCTGCGTACGTCACGCTGCTGGTCCTCACGTGGCAGCTGGTCCAGTGAGTGTAGTGGCGGGGCCGAAGCCGCTGGGGGGAAGGTTTCACGGCAGTGTTTGATTTATTTATTCATCTATCCCCTTCTTGGCGGGCGATGCAGGTGTCACTTTGGCAAGGTGGCTTGAGGCACGGGAGCCGGATTCTGCAGTGTCGTGCTTAGGAGCTTGTAGGAGATGGCCCCCTCCCCTCTTCCGACAAGTGCAGCCAAGATGCCCAGTCGCGCGGCATAGCTCGCCCGACCGAGCGCGGTATCCCATACCGTAACGGCCGCAGCTTTTTTTCAGGAAAGAAGATCCGGAGTCCGCCGGCGGTGCCGAATCAGCGACAGCCGAGCAGCGTCACTCAAGCCAACGGGGTGTCCCCACCGGTGACGGGGACGGGTACATACGCGAGTGCGAGGTACCTATTCCAGAAGCAGGTAGGCTGCGTCTGAGAGATGGAGTGAGACATCATGTACGGGATTCGTGCCTCGTCACCCTGCCATCATTCTCCCGTCATCTCTCGAAGTCGCGCTCGGCACCTTGTATCAGGGCAACGGAGCGAGGCTCGCGCGCAGGGGGGATGGGGATGATGGGGATGAGGACGGGGAAGGGGAGGACTCATCTCGTCGTCGCCTGTACCAGCATCGTGGCAAACCAAGAGTGTGTCCTCCCACCGCGACGTGACGGGCAACCCCTTCCCCACCCCCCAAACGGCCGCCGTAAGGCCGAGTAGCATGGCAGCTCGAGGCGTTCGAAGGAAGAAGAAGAAAACAGGTCGCCGTTTCCCTTGAAGTTTCCCCAAAGCACCGCCAGTGATTCGTTCCAATGATGAATACAAATGCAAGCTACGAGAAAACACAATATTGGGGGGGGGGGGGGGGGGGGGGCAACGACTACGTGCATGTCAACTCTCGACGAGATACTGCAATCTATGCGGTCGTCAAAGTGATTTGAGAGGGAACGATGTGTATACATCTATCTATATGTGTATGCATGTATTGAAAGACTCGGCCAAAGAGGTGAGGGAGGGGGTATGTTAAGAAGGGGGGAGGGGGGAGAAGAAGTAGTAAATTGGAGAAAACAGGAAGAGAGGGATAGGAAGGGAAGGGGGGGAAAAAAAGAAGGAAAAAAGACAGTAAAACAACAAAGATTAACCCTTCATAAAATACATTATAACGAGAACCCTCTGCTACATGCGTGTACCCTCATGACAATGCCAGCTGCCGTAAACCCCTTCTTTTGTGAACCGACCCCCACCCCCCGCCCCCCTACCTGGCCCGTCGCTACCAAAAGCCGCACCGTGGAACTTCCACTTCCCGACCCAAGGACCAACAATCGACCCAGTCACACAACCTCGCAGACACACAGACACAGGCAGCACTCCCTTGACCAAAGAGGAGGACCTCCCCTCCCGACGTTCGCGCCGAACGACGCCCTCGAGGAGGGCAAACCCGAGACAGGCCCCATGGAGAAACCAAACCCCCCCTCCCCCACCGCTCCGCTTGTCCGGCACGCCGTGGCGCAGCCTCCCTTACGGCCCCACTCCTCATCCTTCCCGCACCTAAATCCGACGTCTCTCGGTGCCGAGAAAGACTTCCTGACGGCTCCGAGGCAGACGGCCAAGAGCTGTGGTGGCGGGGTTCTAGTGTGCTGCTGACGGTGTTTCGGTCGAGTATGCTTCGGGCCTTTGCGCGTCCCGATCGTCTCTCGGCGATAGCAGCCGTTTCTTTGCCGAGCAGCAAGAGGTTGCAATGATTGTTCCCCTTCAGACGCGTCCATCCGTGGATCGTGGGAACCCCTTGTCGCAGACCCTGGCTTGTCCCAACGCCCAATGCTCATATTCGCGAAAATGGGGGTATATTCGTTTCGTGTGCCCAAATCCTCCAAGTAGATTAAATCCGCGATGCTTTCCTTCGCTCTGTTATTAAACCGTCCTCCCGCCCTCGCCCCTCAAGCTTTCTTGCGCAGCTAGACGGTATTGCTCCCAAGGCGACCCTGGCTGTCGTCCAGATCGCAATGGTTCTGTGACCGAAATACAGTTGTTATCTACATTACTCTACTAGACGATTGTGACGAACATGTCTGTACCACCCGGGCTCGGGGCGGCTTCGTGTCGCGGCTCTCTGAAGCAGGATACGTTTGACAAAAAGCACAGCACCCTGAAAAGAAATGTATCTTTGAGGAGAAGCCGCGTTCGATGCCAGCCTCTCGTTCATGGTAACGCCTGGTTTCCTTCGTTCTCCTCGTAAGTCCATCCCTGGTAGCCCTCGTGCGGTCTGGCATAGGTATAGGGCGGCTGTTCCCAAGAAGCATAATCCGAAGACGGTGCCGCACCTGCAGAGAGCGAGGCGTTGTTTGGGTCGAAGTCTGGGAGGTGCGTGGCTATTTGTGTTGGGTAAACGTCTGACATCGTCGACGACTTTCTTCCAAACTGCTGACTCTGCTGCGGCGCCATGGAGTACTGAGGCGGTAGCGGCGTGTTTCTCGGGTAATTCATGGTGCTTCCCGGGGCGAAAGAGTAGTACCCCATGTCGCCGGGGGCGTTGGGGTCTGCATTGCTCCAACTGGCAGACGAAGGAGCCTGGGAAGTGTATGGTGAAAAGGACGGCGTGATTGGAGACTGCCCAGTGAAAGATTTCCACGTTTCGTTATGCTCTTTTGGTTGTGTAGAACTAGGACTGACTTCCGGTGATATCCAAGCTACTGACTGGTTCGGATAGCCGAAGGCACGAGAGCGCAAACCTGCAGGCACGCCTGACGACACTATATTCCGCCTATCAGCCAACCGGCAAAACTCTGACAATGGTCGGGACTTACTTGTAGCCTCGGTCCCGAGGTTTTCGATGGCGGATGGCTGTTTGGGAGGCGGTGGCATACCTGGAACCGGATGTACCACGCCAGGATGATATTGCTGGCGTTGGGCAACGTCAAGAGACTGCATGGCAGCTATAGCGGGAGAAGACGAGGCAGAAGCGGTGTTGGGCCCAGACGAGGCCTGCGATGGCGCTTTAGGGCGCGGACCGGTCGTCTGCGGTAGCGGCGGCTGGTCTACGGGGAAGAAGCTGCATTCTTTCTTCAGCCTGATACAGTTGATGCATCTACTCTCGCCCATCGCGGGCGATGCTATGCACCGGATTTTTCGCCGACGGCAGTGTCCTTGACGATATCTCCATCAGTACCGAGTCAGCAAGATCCTGGCGCTCTCCGAGACAACCAGAAAAGGGGGGGGGGGCAGCTACTTACCACAGGCAACAGAAGTTCTGTGGTAGCCCAGCTTGTTTCTTTTCTTTTCGCTAGCCAGACCAGACTGATTTGCATCGGATATGCTGGTCTGCCGTGGTCTAACATCAGGCGTGGACATCGACCGTCTCAACTTCAAACTCGCCTGTGAGAAGGATTCTTTACGCTCCCTGAGAGTCTGCTCTTGGGTTCTAGGGTTCATCGGCAATGGGATCGGAGCCGTCGCGTCGTAGTTGGGAACGTAGCCGGAATGCGACACGCCCATCCCAGAGCCGGAATAAGGTAGATGCGGGGGGTACTGGTATGACATTGTGGATTCCATCAACTGGGATGAGTAGCAACGGGACGCGCGGTAGCTTTCAAGGTACTGAGATTGGTGATGAAAGACCAGAAAGGTCTAGTGCCACGACGGGCGGGCGAGAGATAGGCGCGGCGGCAAGACAACTCCACGAGTCCGAGGTGCTTGGGGAAAGGGGAGGGGGGGGAAAGTGTTCCGGGTTGATGATCTCCCCACGCTACCGACTCCTCACGATGGTTTAGGTTGAAGTCGACTGCTGGGTCCCGATGCTGTGTGGCTTTAATCCCAGTGTGTTTTCCAGAGGCGCAGGAGATGAAGGTGCAGTGCGTATCCAAGGCCGCACGAAGAGATGATGACGACGACGGAAGTGTTGACGAGTGAACTTCCAGGAAGCAACAGACCGTGCCTTGTTGTCGATGTTATGCTGGGTACAAAGCAGAGCGGATACGGTCAATGCGGGCACGGCACAAAGCGAGGCCAGGGGCCGACCAATCGAGGCGAGTTGTGCAGTCCAGCCCAGCTGCGAATGCTTGGTCGGCTTTTGAGATTGACTGGCGTCAAAATTGGGTCGGCTTCCCCCAAGTTCTTCCTGCTTTCCCCGTGTACTGATTACTACCCAATTTGGAAGATGACCTAGACTGTTTCCTGGCGGAGGTGACTGCAGCTGGAGGATTCCGGAGTGCCCTACGATGCGATGTGCAATGTGCAGATGCGGCAGCTATAATCGGGGTGTGTCGGATTGGCAGAAGTTGGGATGTCTGCTACGTAAGGTGGGTGTCGCCGTCGTCGTCGTCGTCGCCAGGGCGAGAGGTTGTCGAGCCCAATGCTAAGACCGGTGAGCCAAGAACGGAGAAGGGAAACAATATATAAGCAACGCTTGGAATAAGGCACCAAAGCCAGGAAGGCCAACCATAAGAAGCGATGGAAGAGTGCATGGGGGGGGGGGAGGGGATTGGTGACGGGGGTAACACTCGAGAAAAGAAAAGAAAGGCACGTACCTCGCAGCTATGTAGGTGTATGGAAGACAGCGACGTTATGCCTCTCCAAGTTTAAGACTATTCGCCAGCGAAGGTACCAATCAGGCCTTTACTTTCTCGGGCATCCAAGTATTTGGTCGTATGATCGGTGAGGCGTCGACGAGAGTTACCAGGTCTTATAGATTGATCGTCGAGGTAGCGAGGCTACGAGCGAATTTACCAGTTCTTGATGTGAAAGTCAGTAAGTGCATGCCGGTTTTTATTAGTCTTGGCGTCCGCCTTTGATTGTATTTACCCACCCTTGTTGCTGTTTTTCACGTTCTCTGGGAGACGAGGGGCCTGGAAACTCCGGGTGGTCTTAGCCAGTGCTTTTGATTAACTCCCTTATAGCCGCTCAGGTTGAGGGCGCAAGACCTCACCGACCCAGGGAGATCAACGAGCAAAGCGAAGATATCAGAGAGGTCGCAAGGGCCGTCGTGAGAGCAGCCAGCTAGCCGGCTGGTTAAGATGTGAGGAGCGTAGGTACGCCACGTACCTTGACGTCCGGCTGCGTTCAAGGAATGCCTAGATAGCAAGTACGGACACGTTGGGTCGTGGGGATGAGAACTTTGAGGTTCTCCAGGAGGGGCAGTTGCTTGAAGGAGTCGCACGCGCTATAACGCTTGGAGGTGTCGTTGCAGAGTCGAGTCGGGAAGGTAGACAGAGGATGCGAGTTTATAGGAAAGTCTCGCGGTGATCTCAGCGGTGGCGAAGGGCTCGCCGAGGTCCTCTGGCTATTGGAGGACGTATCGGGGGATGCAGAAGTAAGATTTTCGAAAGAGAGAAATCTTGGAAGGAGTGCAGAGTGGTCAAATGCAGACGGGCCTTGGTCTGGTCGTCTATTTCTTCGCTTCACCCTGGCATCAAGTGTTGCCCGGGCTTTGCTTCTCAGTCTGCCGGATGGAAATGGAAAGCACCAGAGCAGTTGAATCAACGTCTCTGAGCACACAGCAAACCAAGAAATGGCAGGGGAGGGGGGGGGGGGGGGGGGGGGGGGGGAGCGTACAGGGAGAATAGAAAGGGGACGAGCAACCAGATAGAGGATGAAGATATTGCGGAATACAACCACGAATCACGACGTGCCAATAATACTGGAGTCCTAAGCAAGATCGGCAAGACCAGAGATAGACAGATGGCTTTCCTGGGCCTCAAGCATAATCCTGAAACTGCTTCTTGAGAGGTGATGGCTCAAAATGGTATCTCGGCCTTTGTGAGATGATACTTTTGCGCCGGGTTGTGTACCATGGTGGTTAATCGCATTGATAAGCGCCGGGGATTGAGGAAGCCATAGAATCGGTAGGTGTTCTATCTACCTGTCACTCCCCTGACACCCACTCCCCTTGCAATATTCACTGTCCGTGTTGCGCATCGGAGAGCCTTCAAGGCCAGATGGTGAACCCTATGGAGGGGACCTTGACCGGCAGGCGCTGTGTTCCAGGCGTCTCATCTAAGGCAGCGTGATTGATTATTGGCTGGATGTTCTCATTCTCCATCTCACCCCATCTCTCATTCCGTGCTCATCTTGGGAGCTCTTGTCTAGGGTACTTGAGAGGACGGGGATACGGAGCACAAGCCGTCAAGTTACGCCCAAGCGGCCCTTTCTTCCCATCCTTGTCCCCTCCAGACTGGGGTCTAGGAATTGTGGGAGGGCACGGAGAGAGGAACTGGGCAACTAGGGTCGGTTGGAGGGGCCGGCAACCACAGACGACAGAGCGCGAGACCGGTCAGATGCCAGTCTATGCAGAAAGCAGATACGGGAAACACCTGCTTCTCGAATTTCGGACGCTCGACATTGGTGGACACCGGTCTTGAGGGAAGCGCCTGCCAAGGGACAGAACCGCTAGGCGGCAAGGCCAAAAGAGGTTGTATCCGTCATTACATTGAAGATTTTGACAATTTGCCATTCAGTACCTGTCGTTCCTGCCCTGGATGATGTAATCCGAGGATACGCGGACCAGTTCCGTCAGCGTATTGTCCGCGTATCTCGTAGACTGGACAGGACATGTCGAGGGTCGCGGCGGGCCATGTCTGCTATCATCCCTGCTTGACCGAGCCTGTCGGTCGTGTGGATCCTGGCGAGAAAGGCATCCAAGCACTGCTTCACATGGGACGAAGGGAAAGGGCGTGGGAGCTACCCTTGCTCATGCCATCGTATACTCCGTACGTATGAATAACAGTCTCTCGACTGTTGCCACGCGTCTCGACGAACATCAAAATTGCCGCATCGTCGCATCGTTGCATCGTAGCATTGTAGCATTGTGGCAACGTAGCCTTGTAGCATCGTAGGGTAATGTAAGCAGCAGGTAAGCGCGGTCTGTGCTTCCAGAAATATGGGTTCTGCAAGCTTCGGTTCATCGATTCTGTTGACGCCCAGACCTTGAATCAGAATCAAGCTCGCTTGCGGCATTCGGCGGTCAGGTGGTTCTTGACCGCTGCCCCGAAGAAATCCTGGCAGTTCTGACGCGCCTGTCACCATCCCCAGAGAGAGCCGGATATATGTGACCAAGTGTTGTCCGTTGTCCACTGTTAGACAGGTCTCGCCCGGTCGAGGAAAGATGGGTGGTAGATGGCGGGTTGCAACCTCACCACGTTCGTGGCCCTAGCGCTCCCACGAGAGCCCGTGACGTGACGTGACCCCCATTCCCTATTGCCACAGTTTTCAGAGGAAAATCGACCAGTCACTCGCTGTGCCTGTTGGCTCAGGGGTTGATCGCCAAGTGTCTGTCGTTGTTAGAAGATATCGGTGGTCTGGACTATCGAGGTCCCCGAACCGTAGCTGACAATGCGCCTGGATTGAATGACCCTTTCATCTCGCTTTGAGTTTGTCCCCTCTGCAGCAGTCAACGGGTCGCAGGGCTAGCGGCCCGCGGTTGACGCAGTTGCCGAGCTGTTCCGTTCCAGCTGCATGGTAACTGCCTGAACCATTCCATGCCTCAACTCGTCCACCTGTTGGCAAGATCATCCGATTATGCAATCCGCCAATATGGTAACATTGAGCCATGACCACCGCAAGAAACTGCCACACAGCTTGCCGGGTGATTGAGGGGCGCCAAAGCTGGAATCTGTGCCTCCAGCAGGCAGTAATAAGAAATGTATGGAATCCAAATCTGACCTGAAGAATGATGACGTTGGGCCTCAGTGACCTGTGCTACCATCAAGCACGACTTCTACGTTCGTATATGGAGAAGACAAAAGGGCTGCAGTCTGCTTCTCGGTATGTGACGCTGCGATCTTGATCTTTAGGCCTGGATCTGCGCCAGGAAAGAGCCTGGAACTGTCACCACCACCACCACCACCACCACCACCACTCCTCAATGTGCCTGGGCGTGCGTCAAAGAAGTCGTATTTCGGTAGACATAGAGTTGAGACGAACTGCATCTGATGTTGTGACAGTACCCATGGAGCGTCCTGTCGGGAAATGTCACGTCTCGCTTCCCGCCTTCAACTATGCAGGAATCGATCTGACATGATGTGCGACTGGGATATGCCGTCAAAACCGCTGCAACAGCCGTTGGTGCTTTGCCCCCCCAGTGTATCCTGCACCCCGCATTTCAGTTGTCGTTACTCAACTCCTCCGTTGCCGCGCCAGTCTCAGAGCATCGTCCCCTTGAACATGCCCGTCGATCAAACGTTCTGAATCATCCCAACGTCTTCGGAACTGGCAGACATCAGACAACCGAGTACCCCTGGAGCTCTGAATAGACAAGAAGCAAGGGAAAAAAGAACATACGCACTTGATGCAATGCTATTTTCCTCGAATCGTTCCACATTTCTTTGTGGAGCAAATCTCATTGCATCATTATCAGCTGCATCTGCTTCATGCGGCACTTTGGCCCGTTGCTTTATGAATATCTTGAGCGAGCCCCTGGTGTCGCCAATTGGACAGCGACGCATTGATGCTGTCGCTGTCGTTGTCGTGGACCCCGAGGCTAGTCATCTCGGCTAGGCTAGTTGGCTAGAGATGTTGTCGGGATGGTCTCGTTCGTGGAAGAACTCTTGGATGTTGCCGCCAACCCACCACCACTAACTATTGCTGGGAAGCCCTGGGAAAAGGCTGAGCGACGGTCACCTTTCGAGATCTCAGGATCGGGCAGCTGGCAGGGCTTAGCGGTTATCGGGAGAAGATGCTCGGATTTACCTTCTTGAGGTGGGGGAAAGTCTGGTGACTGCCGAACAAGGGGAAACCCAACGTCGGTGGTAATCCTCCGTATCTGTAGTCGCGGCTTCTTTGATCCTAGCTCAAGATGGGAGAAAAACTGCTGCACTTGGCCCGTTCACCCGTTGTCCTCATGGTCGAATAGCAATCTGCCGACCGGTCATCCGGGACAGTCTGCGTTAGTCTGCGTGCCACGGAGGGATCGACGTGATCTCTCCTCGTACACTCAAGAAGCCAGAATGTCAAAGCTGTTGCCGATCTAGCTAGCTGCATGGGTCAGTTGTCAATGTCGCACTGCGGATTCCGACGCCTCCACCAGCTTACTCATCTCTGTTCGGCTTGGCCCGGTTGAAAGCACCGGGTGACACTGGTGGTGGCGGCGGCAGTTGCCAGGCACCACGAGCTCCGAGTTTGCCGTCACAGACCCCGGCCTCCCTACCTAGGTATAGTGGAGGTATGCCCATAGGCGGATTAGCTCATCAGTGACAGCGGTCAGTGCCTCCGTGTAGCATCTTTCCATGATGCAAGGAAACCGTCAGCAGATTCCGACTTCCCCGGGAGAGCTGCTACACCATGCTGGCAGGCATGTTCCCCCATTGGATTAAAGGTGCGCCGGCGCCGCTCGAGGGCGTAGTTCCCCTTGTCAATGAGCGCATCTTGACCCCCGCTGCTGACCAACGCGTCTCCATTAGCAGGCAGGGATCCTGGCCTCATTGTGGTGGCCGGAGCGTGATCTGATTGTAGTCTAGAGACCTTGAGACTCGGTGTGGATCGTGATCACCCGTGCTAATCAAGTCGCTCTTGGCGATGGTGGGATGTCTGACGCGGCTGGCTGATTTCGAGGCCCGGTTCGGATTCGGATTCCGGGATCGCGACGCCTTTTGGATCTTGGTAGAGGTGATAGGGACCTGCATCTGCACGAGGCAACGCGGGAGATGGCCGCGTTGGGCGACGGCTCTCGAGTTGTTGGTCTAGATATGAAGTCGCCACCAGAAGTGCGCGATGCATTAACCAGGCTGCAGACGGTTCAGGTTTGTCAATGCCGAGTCGCATACCCGGGCTTCATGGCTCTCTGGACGTGACTTATCTTCCCAATAGAGTCTGACGAGGAGCAAGAGGCCGATTTTGGGCGAGCTTTGGAGCCGGGTGGGTGCAGACAGCGATTCGCCACATTTGCCAATCAGAGTGGTGTTTAGTAGACTTGACAAAGTTGCTATATGTGCGATCCGCAGCCCAAAAGTGCGGGAGTCTCGCCAAACGGCCTTTCGACACGTCATGGCTATGGATCTTGGCGTTATCCATTGCCCGCGTGCCGCATTGATGTCGGGTGAGCTCCAAGGTTCTCTTGCGGATATCCACCTACCTAGCTAGGTAGGTTGTAGAGGACTGTCGGGTCGGGATATAATCCCTTCTTTCCCCGCTTCGCTTCAGGAGGGTGTCCACGACAAAAAAGACATGAAGGAAGTGGCGACTTTGGTAAAGTGCCTACTTTGATAGGTTTTGATGCGCTTAGGCAGGGGCCGGAGTAAGTTACCTAACCCGATAAGTCAACAACGGAAGGAAGAGGCGGCAGAGCCTGCCATTCCAGACGCATCAGGTGGAGTCGGACGGGCTCCCCGAGGACGGAAAGGGGCATGGCTCGGGCTCGGGCTCCATGAAAAAGCAAGTACTGTCGGGGCCGAAGTCTGGCAGTCGAAATTGGCAGGAATACGGGCAAGAAGAGGCATAAGACATCTACCTACCTAAGGTAAGTAAGTAGGTACGTTCCGGACTTGCAACCGTACCCTCGAGTCACGCTTCCCACCCCTTACGCTCTCGAGAATCAACTCAAGGGCCTTACGTCCTATCGGCCGAGCCTGATGGATGGGAAAGAGTACCATGTTCAGCTTGTTCCCTCAGACGTTGTTGACTAGCCGTTGGGTGTGTGTGTCTTCGCCGTTCATCTGGCCTCGTTGCTCGTGGGTCAACACACTCCCGCCACCTAGGTATCACAACGAGGGCCTCAACCATACATGTAGGTA